TACTACTACTACGGCGACTACTATCCCTACTGCTACTACTAATAGTCCTACTATACTACTACTACTACTACTACTACTACTTCTCTACTAATAGTACTTAACTTACTACTACTACTACTACGACTACGACTACTACTACGACGACTACTACTACTACTACTACTACTCTAACTATACTACTACGACTACTAGTACTACGACTACTACTACCACTACAGTACCATACTACACACATATTCACCACAAGTACGACTACGATGAGACGACGACGACTACAACACCTACTACTACTACTACTACTACTACTACTACTACTACTACTACTACTACTACTATTACCACTACTACTACTACTACTACTACTACTACTACCACCACCACCACGACTACTACTACTACTACTACTACTACTACTACTACTACTACTACTACTAGTACTACTACTAGTACTACTACTGCTATTACTACTACTACTACTACGACGACGACTACTACTACGACGACCACAACTACTACTACTAATACTACTACTACTACTACTACTACTACTACTACTACTACTACTACTACTACTACTACTACTACTACTACGACTACTAGTACTACGACTACTACTACTACTACCAGTACTACTACCACACATATCACCACAAGTACGACTACGATGAAGACGACGACGACTACAACAACTACTACTACTACTACTACGACTACTACTACTACCACCACCACCACCACCACCACCACCACGACTACTACTACTACTACTACTACTACTACTACCACCGTTTCTGCCACTGCCATTGCCAACAATACTACCACTGCTACGACTTCTCTTCTCTCTTCCTGATCCCCTCCCTCCCTGTTCGCATCATTTTTTTCGCTACCCATGCGCCCATCTGCCAGGAGCACCGCGTATCCTCATCCCCCTCTCCCCCTTATCCTTCTATCGTCGTCGTCCTCGTCGCCGCCGTCATCGTCGGCGTCGAAGCCGCCGCGCGATGAAACGAAGCGTGGGGTAAAAGTGGCGCGGGGTGAAAACTGGTGAGAGGATGGCCCCGTGCAGTGGGTTCATTCGGAGCCGGATATCTTGGGAACGGTCCAGCCCACCCCAACAAAAATTACCCTGTGACGTACCCAACCCATTTGTATCAATGGAAACGAGGAGTTGGCCGAAACTTGCATGGACAATCAACTTGATGTGTAAGCTACTTGGGAGGCGTCACTGTGGTGGGCCCCGCAAGCAGGCCTCGAAAGTGGCGACAGTTTCACAGATCGCAGCCCCCCAGGGATGGCGAGGTCTAATTTGAATCTGCGGTGGGTACCCACTGTGCTGGGCCCCGCAAGCAGGCCTCGAACGTGGCGACAGTTTCACAGATCGCAGCCCCCCAGGGATGGCGAGGTCTGATTTGAATCTGCGGTGGGTACCCACTGTGCTGGGCCCCGCAAGCAGGCCTCGAAAGTGGCGACAGTTTCACAGATCGCAGCCCCCCAGGGATGGCGAGGTCTAATTTGAATCTGCGGTGGGTACCCACTGTGCTGGGCCCCCCAGCAGGCCTCGAAAGTGGCGACAGTTTCACAGATCGCAGCCCCCCAGGGATGGCGAGGTCTAATTTGAATCCGCGGTGGGTACCCACTGTGCTGGGCCCCCCAGCAGCCTCGAAAGTGGCGACAGTTTCACAGATCGCAGCCCCCAAGGGATGGCGAGGTCCAATTTCAATCCGCCGTGTGTACCCACTGTGCTGGGCCCCTCAGCAGCCCTCGAAAGTGGCGACAGTTTCACAGATCGCAGCCCCCCAGGGATGGCGAGGTCCAATTTCAATCCGCCGTGTGTGCCCACTGTGCTGGGCCCCCCAGCAGGCCTCGAAAGTGGCGACAGTTTCACGGGATGGCGAGGTCTAATTTAAATCTGCGGTGTGTACCCACTGTGGTGGGCCCCTCAGCAGCCCTCGAACGTGGCGACAGTTTCACAGATCGCAGCCCCCCAGGGATGGCGAGGTCTAATTTGAGTCCGTGGTGGATACCCACTGTGCTGGGCCCCCCAGCAGGCCTCGAAAGCGGCGACAGTTTCACAGATCGCAGCCCCCCAGGGATGGCGAGGTGTAATTTGAATCCGCGGTGAGTACCCACTGCGCTTTGCCCCCCAGCAGGCCTCGAAAGTGGCGACAGTTTCACAGATCGCAGCCCCCCAGGGATGGCGAGGTCAAATTTGAGTCCGCCGTGGGTACCCACTGTGCTGGGCCCCCCAGCAGGCCTCGAAAGTGGCGACAGTTTCACAGATCGCAGCCCCCCAGGGATGGCGAGGTCAATTTGAATCTGCGTGTGGGTACCCACTGTGCTGGGCCCCCCAGCAGGCCTCGAAAGTGGCGACAGTTTCACAGATCGCAGCCCCTCAGGGATGGCGAGGTCCCATTGGATCCGCCGTGGGTACCCACTGTGCTGGGCCCCCCAGCAGGCCTCGAAAGTGGCGACAGTTTCACAGATCGCAGCCCCCCAGGGATGGCGAGGAAACTGTGCGCCCCCCAGGCACAGTTTTTGAATCCGCCGTGTGTACCCACTGTGCTGGGCCCCCCAGCAGGCCTCGAAAGTGGCGACAGTTTCACAGATCGCAGCCCCCCAGGGATGGCGAGGTCTAATTTGAATCCGCCGTGTGTACCCACTGTGCTGGGCCCCCCAGCAGGCCTCGAAAGTGGCGACAGTTTCACAGATCGCAGCCCCCCAGGGATGGCGAGGTCAATTTGAATCCGCCGTGGTACCCACTGTGCTGGGCCCCCCAGCAGGCCTCGAAAGTGGCGACAGTTTCACAGATCGCAGCCCCCCAGGGATGGCGAGGTCAATTTGAATCCGCCGTGTGTACCCACTGTGCTGGGCCCCCCAGCAGGCCTCGAAAGTGGCGACAGTTTCACAGATCGCAGCCCCCCAGGGATGGCGAGGTCAAATTTCAATCCGCCGTGTGTACCCACTGTGCTGGGCCCCCCAGCAGGCCTCAAAAGTGGCGACAGTTTCACAGATCGCAGCCCCACAGGGATGGCGAGGTCCAATTTCAATCCGCCGTGTGTACCCACTGTGCTGGGCCCCCCAGCAGGCCTCGAAAGTGGCGACAGTTTCACAGATCGCAGCCCCCAAGGGATGGCAAGGTCAAAGGCAGGGGGGACGAGAGGGACGGGGGGGGGGCGGGAAGGAAGGAGACGCGCGAGCAGTGCTCTGTTCAAAACGAGAACCCAACGCAGGAGGGTTGGGACAAAAAAACAGTCCAGTCACCTGGGTTGAACGCTCTGTTTTGTGCACGTGTGGGGAAGGGGGTGGGGGTAAGACCCCCACCCCCCCCACCCACACGGGGATCCCGAACTGCCATTCCCACATGCCCCGTCCCTCTTCTCCCTTCGTCAGCAGGACCATGACGAAACCATACGTGTTAGCAAATTGGACCCCAAGGGTCTGGACACCTTCCCTGGGGCCATGCTTTCATCCCGGATCGTGCTCTGACGGCCCGCGGGCCTGGCAGAGGACACCCCAGAAGCCGAAACCTCCAATAAAACTTGGCGTTGTGAGTCTGTCACGACGCGAGTTTGCCTGGCTCCTCCACACCTTCCTCTCCTCCCGCCTCCCCTGGCCTCCCAGAGGGCTAACAGAAACACTAAGCTCTTTGCTTGTGAAACCTGGTCGAGATTTCAAGCGGTCCCGTTGATCTCTCTATAGTTACATCTAGGGTGAAAGGCTATCTGTTGTAGAGGCCTCCATCGGGGTCCGAGCACATGGGGTCGGAGGACCAAGCCGCATGGCCGATGCGCCAGCGCAGTCGGCATAGAGAAAATCGGGCTCCACACACAGCAGCATCGCCGAAGCATCGGTGATGCGGCATGATTCTCCGACCCCGACAGCTCCGATACCATCGGGAAGCCTGATTTATGGCACTATGATGAAAGGTTAGGGTCATCCTCCTCCGCCTCGTCGTCCTTCCCCTCCTCCTCTATCTCTACCTGAATACCAGGAGGAGAAATACGTAACACCGCCTCTCCTCCTCCTCCTCATCCTCCTCGTCTTCCTTCACCTCCTATTCCTCGTCCTCGTCATCACCGATCATCATCATCATCATCATCATCATCATCATCATCATCATCATCATCATCATCATCATCATCATCATCATCATCACCATCACCATCACCATCACCATCACCATCACCATCACCATCACCATCACCATCGCCATCATCTCATCAGCATCATCAGCATCATCATCCTCATCATCATCATCATCATCCTCCTCCTCATCATCATCATCAGCATCAGCATCATCATCACCATCATCAGCAGCAGCATCAGCATCAGCATCAGCATCAGCATCATCATCATCATCAGCATCATCATCAGTTTCATCGTTACCATCATCACCATCATCGTCATCATCAGCATCATCATACTCATTACAATCCTCATCACCATGATCGTCATCATCATCATCATCATCATCCTCATCCTTATCATCAATGTCAGCATCATCATCATCGTCACCATCGTCATCGCCATTATCATCATCATCCTAATCCTCACATGCTCCGCATCATGTTCATCATCATTATCATCACCATCCTCATCCTCCTCATCATCATAACCATCATCATTAACGTCAACAGTTTCACCATCGTCATCACCATCGTCGTCATCATTATCATCACCATCAACAGCGTCATCCTTATCATCACCAGCAGCATTTCATCATCGCCATCGCCATCATAATCAGCATCATCATCAAGATCCTCATCCTCATCATCAGCATCAGCATCAGCATCAGCATCAGCATCATCATCATCATCATCATCATCATCATCATCATCATCATCATCATCATCATCATCCGCACCCGCATCCTCATCCTCGTCCTCATCCTCGTCCTCATCTCCATCCTCATCCTCATCCTCATCCACATCCGCATCCTCATCCCCATCGTCATCCTCATCTTTATCCTCATCCTCGCGTTGGGCCCACAATCCAGGGTCCTCCACCAGGGGCAGGGGCTCGAAGGCGCGCAGCATGGCATGCAGCTGGCCCCGGTCGGGGCCCATCTTGCCCACCCCGGTGCGGTCCGCGGTGCTGTTGGCGGTGAGAAGGTGGTCCTAAGGTCGGCTGCGAGCCCAGGGGGGAATGCAGAGGGGACGGGCCCCATCAGAAAGCTCGGAAGGCCTCGGGTCTTCTGAGAAATTGTCCAAGTGCTTTTCCGAAAACTGAAACGGCTTCTCAAAGGCCGGAGTGCTTCTGAGAATCCCCGCCGCCTTCTGAGAAGGCCTGCCCCTCTTTCTTTCCCCCCAAGGCGCGCCGCCAATACAATGGAGAGCACCCAGCCAGACCTCCTCGAGTCATGAAAAAACAAAATGCACGACGACCGAGATTAAGATATCTTCGGGCCCTGTGGCCCTTACCAGGCCCGGGGCCGTGAGAAAACAGCTCCGGATGAGAAGCCAGCACTGGGGACTGGGTCCAGAAATTTGGGGGTCCAAGTGAGAAACCACGACGTCGGAGGTCTGGCAGTAATCGCGCAAACTTCCAAACGATTGACTCCTGAAATCCTGGCCTTTCTCCTCGGAATCGGCCTTTGAAGGACCTTCTCCCGAGGACGCACCGCCAGAAATTGGTCTGGGATGTGAGAGACGCATCCAGGCAAAGGGGATCGGGGCGTCCATGGGCCGCGAATTGGCAGAACTGCGCGCGAAATTCTTGCCTCGGCGCTGGACCCCCCCCTTAGGGTGGCGACCCCCGCGCCCAAACCATCTGACAAAAATCGGTCTCCGCCTTCCTAGCACGCTGCACGCGCGCGGTCTGTCCGCCCACCCGTTTCGGGTGTTTTTCCGTTTTTTATATTATTTGTTTCTCTACCCTGCGAACAGGGCGCCCAGCGGACGTGGACAGAGGACGAGGAAGAGGAGGAGGAGGAGGAGGAGGAGGACGAGGAGGAGGAGGAACAGGAGAAGGAGGAGGAGGGGGAGGAGGAGGAAGAGGAGGAGGAGGGGGAGGAGGGGGAGGAACAGGAGGAGGAGGAGGAGGAGGAGGAGGAGGAGGAGGAGGAAAAGGTGGAGGCGGACGAGGAGGAGCGGAAGGAGGAGGAGGAGAAAAAGGAAAAGGAAAGGGGGAGGAGGGGGACGAGGAGGAGGAGGAGGAGGAGGAGGAAGAGGAGGGGGAGGAGGAAGATGAGGAGGAAAAGAGACTGGTGTGGGAGCTCCATGGGTCCCCCCAGAAACCATCCAAATTATCCCGGCGAAAGACCCAACCATATGCAGCTGTGAATACCGCGTTGTGGGTACTGCTCTCGGAACCCCCTATGAGGCCACGATCCTTGCGAAGGGTGTGCCGAAATTGGCGGGGGGGTGCACGCAAACCCTGCCGTTGGGGCCTCCGGTGGAGCTCCCTGCGGGGCCGAGATTCTCGTGAGAGGTGCCGAAAGGGGGCGGGGGGATGCATGCAAACCCTGCCACTGGTGCCTTGGGTGAAGCTCCCTATGGGGCCACGATCCTCGTGAGTGGTGTGCAGATATCAGCGGGGGGGCGCATGCAAACCCTGCCGCTGGGGCCTTCGATGGGTGGAGCTACTTATGAGACCACGATCCTCGGGACTGGCGTGCCGACATGGACGGGGGGGGCGCATGCAAAACTTGCCGCTGGGGCCTTAGGTGAAGCACCCCATGGGGCAACGATCCTCGTGATGGGCGCGCCGAACTTGGCGGTGGGACGCATGCAAGCCCTGCCGTTGGGGCCTTCGGTGGAGATCCCTGCGGGGCCAAGATCCTCGTGAGGGGCGTGCCGAAATCGGCTGGGGGGCGCACGCAAGCCCTGCCGCGGGGGTCTTTGGTAGAGCTCTCTGTGGGGCCGCGATCAGATGGGGGGCGTATGCAAACCTTGCCGCTGGGGCCTCCAGTGGAGCTCCCTATGGGGCCACGATCCTTGTGAGGGGTATGCAAAAATCAGCGGGCGGGCGGGCCGCGATCCTCGTGAGGAGTGCGTTGAAACGGGCGGGGGGGCGCATGCAAACCCTGCCGCTGGAGCCTTCGGTGGAGCTCCCCATGGGGCCACGATCCTCTCGAGGGGAGTGCCAAAATGGGCGGGTGGACGCATGCATACCCTGCCGCTGGGGCCTTCGGTGGAGCTCCCTATGAGGCCACGGTCCTCGCGATGGGGTGCGCCGACATGGTGGGCATGCGGCGATCAAAGCAAGAGTGGGAAGAGGGAGGGGGGGGGAGGGGGGGGGGAGAGGATGAACGCTGGGCGCTGTCTCTTCACAACGAGGACTCAACACCACAGGATGTTTGGGACAAGAAGTTTCCGATTGCTTTGTTTCCTCCCAGGATCCTGGGGGGGGGGGGGGGGGGGGGGGCTTTGGGGGGGGGGGGGGGTTTCCAGGGCCCTAGATGTAGTTTTGCGCCCCTCTCTCCGAGGCGCGAGCTCGCGGCCCGGCAGCCTGTCTGCCAAGGCCGCCTGCCCCCCACGACACGGCAGCCTGTCTGCCAGGGCCGCCTGTGCCCACGGGCGAGGTCGCGCGCCAACCAGTCATGCTGGCGAGCGCGCGTCGGCCTCCCGTGCCCCACTGTGGGGCCGAGAGAAACGCCACTGGAGGTCCCACCCACAAAAAGGTGCGGGTGGGTGGGGCCCCAAGAAGAAAGGGCCTCGCTAGAAGCCTTGAGCAAAGAGTACGGAAAGGCAAGGAGAGGCTACGCGCGCGAGAAAAACCCTCTGCTATAACTAGCGTCCACAAAACAAGGCCATGTGCGACAAAACCGCACCAACAAAAATAATACACAAACAAAGAACGCAGAACCCTTGAACAAAACATCCCATTGGATTTTTGTTCGTGGATTTTTCGAGGGGGTCCAAAGAACCCCCTGCAATTCGGGCTAAGCCCTTCAAATCGCAATGCGGGTCAAGCCCCCCGGGAACCCTTTTTTGAGTATCTGTTCCATGTGTGCTCTTTTCTTGAGTTTTTCGGGGGGGGGGGCGAAAATTCCTCTCCCATGCGTATACATCATGAAACATGAGAACCCTAACGGGCGGGTCGGGACTGGCGGAGCCTATCGGGCGGGTCGGGAGGGCGGACCCCATCGGGCGGGTCGGGTCGGGCGGGCGGGACGTTAAAGTCTGATGCGTGTACAGCATGACACATGAGAACCCTAACGGGCGGGTCAAGACGGGCGTACCCTATCTGGCGGGTCGGGCGGGCGGACCCTATCGGGCGGGTCGGGTCGGGCGGGCGGGACACGAAAGTCTGATGCGTATACAGTCTGCCTCCTCTCTCCTCCTCCTCACCCTCCTCCTCCGCCTCCTCCTCCTCCTCCTCCTCCTCCCTCTCCTCCTCCTCCTCCTCCTCCTCCTCCTCTTCCTTTTCCTCATCCCCCTCCTTCTCCCCCCCTCCTCCTCCTTCTCCCCCCCTCCTCTTCGCGTTCTCTCGCCCACTGCCGTTCCCGCCCCTGAACCACCGCCCCCTCCCGCTGCTGTTCCTCCTCCTCACCCGCTCCTCTCCCTCCTCCTTCTTCTCCAAGGCGGGTGGACGGGCGCCGGCGCAGATCTGCGACGTCGTCGTCGTCGTCGTCATCGTTTGCCGGCAGCGAGTAAGGGGGGGTGGCTCGAAACCCGCCCGGGAGGGCCTGGGGAGGGCGGGGGGTTCGAACCCCGCCCTTCCTTGGCGCAAAAATATGTCGTCGTCGTCGTCGTCGTCGTCGTCGTCGTCGTCGTCGTCGTCGTCGTCGTCGTCGTCGATATTGTCGTTGTCGTGGTTGTCGTCGTCGTCGGCGGCTGCCGGCGGCTAGGAGGGAGGTAGGGGTGGGGGGTGGGGGGGGGCGGGGTCGAAACCCCACAGGGGGGCCTGGGGGGGGGGTCGAACCCCTTCTGGCGCAAGAATGTCATGTGTCGTCGTCGTCGTCGTCGTCGTCGTCGTCGTCGTCGTCGTCGTCGTCGTCGTCGTCGGCGGCGGCGGCGGCGGCGGCGGCGGCGGCGGCGGCGGCGGCGGCGTCGTCGGCGGCTGTCGGCGGTTCGGGGGGGTGTCGAAACCCCCCGGGAGTGCTCGGGGAGCGAAGGGGGAGGGGTTGCATCCCCCCCCTCCTAATTTCAGGGAGGGGGGGGGCAGGTTCCCGAATCCCCCCCCCGCCCCGTCGTTTGCGGGGGAGGAGGGTTGGTGGAAACCCTTCCCTCCCCCCCCTGCCAGCGGCGCCACAAAGCGCCCTCTCGCACCCTCCTGGGCAGGGCGGGGCTCTCGGGCTCCTATCGGCGATCCATGGGCGGTTGGGTGTCGATGCATCCCCCCCCCATGCCTACAGTCCACCCGTATAGTAAGGATGCGCGGTAAGGATGCAAGGGCCTCGGAGGGCCGCTTCGATGCTTTTCGAGCGAGGCGCGGCCAGAGAAAGTGGCCAAGGATGGGCCGAAGGGACAAGCAAGGGTATCCTTGGGAAGGTTGCCCATCCTTCTTGTGCGGGTTGACTGTATCCCCCCCTGCCGCTGCCCCTGACTTTCCCCAGCCCGACGGGCGTGCACATGCCGGCTGGGTGGGCCAGGCCGGGAGGCGCTCTGGGCCCCGGCTGGGCCCGCCCAGGCCCCACTGTGGCGGTCCCCTTTCCCCCGGAGGGCCGCAGGGCCGTCCTCACGCGAGGCACCCCAGCCGTCGTGCTACCCATTCGGCGGCGAGCGAGGCGGGCAAGCAGAAGCCTCCTCGATGGGGTCCGAGCAGAGGGGGTCGAAGGATCACGCCGCATCGCCAAGGCATCGCCGATGTGTCGGCGCCGCATAGGCGGCGTCGGCGACGCATCCTCGACGTCGGCGTGGAGAAAATCGGCCTCCACATCGAGCCGCATCGTCGATGCGTCGGCGATGCGGCGCGACCCTCCGACCCCATCTACTCCGAGCCCATCTAGGAGGCCTAGAGCAAGTGAGGGGGAAAAGACCTTCTCGGGAGGCGGTGGGCCTTCTCCGAAGCCTTCGAGCCCTCTGAGAAGCTCTGTGTCTTCTGGGGAGGCCTGGACTGCTTCTCAGGAGGCCGGGGGACTTCCGAGCCTCCTCCGTCTCACTTCACCACGGGCTCGCCGCCGAACCATAGGGAACGCCGAGTAAGGCACGAAGGGGCCTGTCTGGCCACGGCGAGCCTCGGCCACAGATAACAGTTTCCCCGACCTATGCCTGAGGAAGCCCCGAACATCCGAGCAGAGGTGATCGTCATCTCAACGTCTCGACTGTTAGTGGCACCGATACAGGGGCGAAGCTCCTTTGGCAAGCACGCCCAAGAGAGAGATGCAGCAAGGCTGGCCTGCTCAGTAAACGTCCAGGGCTGTTCAGCAAACGCTGGTTCTTGAGGTCGGGGTGGTGATTTGTCTCCCTCGATCTTCCCCTCCCGAGGTCCACGTCGTCCCACTTCTGGCAAATGTCCTGCGGCTCCACAACCGTGGCAACGTAGCCCAGGCGGTCCGCCAGCAGCAAGTACGGCGCCATCTCCCACAGCCGCAGGTGCGCGCAATCCACGAACAGCGGGTGCACGCCGGCCTCCATCGCGAGTCGCACCCGCGCCTCGTTCCTGCGGTGGTACGCCTCCAGCCGGGCCTCGAGAGGAGAGAGCGCACACTTTTTGCATCAAGGGGCGAGGCGTCCTAAGGCGGCACAAATCCACCAGCGTTGCAGAACGGGGGGGCTACTACGCATGGCGAGTCGCGTACAGAAAAAGGTGGCTGCGCTATGGGCAAGCCCGTGTTAAGATCGGCGGTGGACAAACATCCCTTTAGTAAACCACCCTTTAGTGAAAACAGCCTAGGACAGAAACCGACGGATCCGGACCCGCAAAAATCCGCCGATCCGGCGTGTGAGTTTCAAGGAGTCTCAGCTACAGCCTCGAGGCTGAGCCTCAGCCTCTGGGGGGGTTGCCGGGGTGGCTCTGCCGGGGAAGGGGGGATGAGGGGGGGGGGGGGGCGAGTTTCCGGCGGATGCGGGGTGTTTGGCGATTTTACAGAGGGGCCCTCTGTAGATGTGCTCAAGGGGCAACGCAATTCAGGCCCCCGCGGGATTGGCGTTTTTATAGAGGGGCCCTCTGTAGATGCGCTCAATGGGGGGCGCGGGATTTGCGATTTTACAAAGGGGCCCTCTGTAGATGCGCTCAAGGAGGGGCGGGGGAATTGCGATTTTACAGAGGGGCCCTCTGTAGACGCGCTCAAGGCCTGCCGGCAGACGCATAGCACCATTGAATTTCCGCGGCCCCTCTGTAGACGCGCTCAAGGCCTGCCGGCAGACGCATAGAACCATTGGATTTCCGCGGCTGGCAATGAAACCGTCGCAGCGCGCTTTTTCAGAGAAGCCAAACGTTTTAGGGTAAGTTTCAAGCAATCCCGGACTTTCGGCGAGCGACCCCGCGACGCCAGTCTGGCCTCTCGGCACAAACTTACGCTTCGAACGCACCCCCCACCAACCCCATCACACGCGACGCCCAAGCAAATTCAGGTGTGCGCTTCTGTGCGAGTGTCTGTGTGTGATGCGTGTCTGCAAATGTCTGTGCGTGCTAGTGTCTGGCGTGCGCCTAGTGTGTCTCTGTATGTGTGCCCGCCGTATGTGCATTTGCGTTTCCTAACTGGTATGTGTGTGTTGGTGGTGGTGGGTGTGCATGTCTGCGGCGCGGGTT